GAGGGATGGGCTCTCGGCGGCTCCGGCGCCCAGACCAGGCCGCACGCGCCCCCTGGTGGCCGCGGAGAACCCTAGCGCGGGAGGCCGGAGAGGCTAAAATTGAGTGGAGCCCAGGTCACTGTGCGGAGGAGGGAAGTCAGGGAGGAGAAGCTCACAGCTTGCTGGGTTGCCAAAGGCCGAGGCCCGGGGCAGAGGAGAGTGAGAGAGATAGTTGGAAGGGACGCCATGGGGAGGCGGAGGCACGATCAAGGCCGAAGAAGGGCAGGAACGAGAGATGTCTGGGGTCCCGAAGGCTGGAGTGACCTCATGGTCCCACGGTGTGGCCTGGGCCAAATAGCAACCCTCCGTCTTCCCTGGACCTGTTTCTTCCCCAGACCAAACTCCAGGAGACAGAGAAACAGAGATTGGGGTGGGAGGCAGCCAGGGGGAGATCGAGGCAAGGGTCCTGGAGTGGCAGAGAGAGGGGCTAGGGATGCTTGGCTGGACAGAGTAGGCCAGATACATCTCAGTGGGGCCAAGAGGCTGAGTCCTAGTGGAAGTAACTTCCTTGGGCTGTGAAGTGGGCACAGTATATGACCAGCACCTCCTCCCCACAACAAGTAATCTCTGATACCCACCAGAATGTGAAAGTTCCATGTGTTATCCTAAAACTCATCCTTCTCTTCAGGGCATGTGGCTACTGGGAGCTGGCTTAGTCTGAAAACCTTTTTAGAAATGAACTGTGATAAAAGGGCAAAGGCAGTTTGAGCCACGACAGTCTTTTCCTTAAAATTTTATAATGAAAAATATCAAACGTACAGAAAACTTGAAAGAATTTTACAGTGAACACCCATATAACCACCAATATTGAATCGTCATGATGCTCCAGAAGAAGAATAAAACGGAAAGAATAAGACAGCCTGATATCAGCCCAAATACAAATGAGGCATCAAACAGAGAAGCCAGAAACAGACCCACATACACATAAACATAGCTATGTCAGAGGAAGCAGTGCAGTTTTGGCCAGAGGAGGAGGAAGTATAATGAACTGTTTGATAAATTGTGCTAAGAAAATGGGTTAACAATAAGGAAAAGAAGTGAAATTGGACCCCTACTGACCATCATATACAAACTGTAAATTCCACATGGATTAAAGACCTAAATATGAAAAGTCACACTTTAAATATTTTTGGAAAGAAACATAGGAGAATATCTTGATTACTTCAAGGCCAGGAGAAATACATAAAAGCAGAACAAAGGAAAAGTTTGAAAAAATTCATCCACAATAAAATGCTTGTTAATCAAAACATTGTAATAAAGTTGCAAAGAAAGCCACAGACTAGGAGAAGGTATTTGCAGCCAAATAATTCACATGCAGAATAGACAAATAAATAGATATGGGCTACAAGATGCAAATAGGCACTTGACAAAAGAGGAAACAAGGATGGTTAATAAATATGAAAAGATGCTCAACTTAATCATTAATCAGGGAAATACAAATTAAAATAATTTGAGAGACCAACTGATCAAAATTTTAGAGTCCGACAATGTCAAGTGTTAGTAGGGATGTGGAGCAATGGAATCTATACACTGCTGATGGCTGTACAGCCTGGTTGTACTTGCACAATACAAGCCACGTCGGAAACTATTTTATATCAAATAAAACAATATGCACTCAGGAATTCTACTTTCGAGTATATACTCTAGAACAGTGCTTCTCAATATAGACTGAATATTCGAATCATCTAAGGATCTACAAAATACTGATGCCCAACTTGTACTCTAAATCAACTGAAATGTTATTTCTGGAGGTGGAGATTGGTTGCTGATAATGATAAAAAAATGTGTACGCCAAGTGACTCTAATGACTGAGAACGATTTCTTGAGCATGAGCAGAACAACCTTATTTAAATAGTAAAAAACTGAAAATGGCCCAATTCTCCATCACTAGAAGACATAAATTGTGGTATTCTTGTGTGGGTTACTAACATCCTTTTGTATGTATGAAATCACTCTTGAGGTCCCTTGGTTTCCACAGAGAGTCTTGCTTCTCCAATTCTGTGAATGTCCTAGCCCATCTGTCAGCCTCAGTGACCAGGTTGCAAGGACACACCGTGTAATTAGCCAGACTGTTGGCTTCACCATCTGTGTATACCTATTCCTACTACTTGCTTCCTACTCCCAAGCCCACCCACCCAGGCAAGGGGTCTTCACTGCTTCCCCCACACATACACTGATCAGACACAGATCCTTACTCATACCTGTTCCTAACCTAAAATACGTTTCTACTTCTCCACAAATAACCACATCCCAGCCTTCCATCATTGGGAGCCGGAGCACCCCTGTGAACTTGGTGAGTAACCAGAGTTACCCTGTGCTTACCTCCTTGGTTATCCTGGAAGAGACGAGTACTTGAGGATGTAGTCTCAATGTGGGGGCGTGTAGTCCAGTCCAGCCTGGAGTCTTCTGATGTTGCATGCAGTGGGGTGGAGTCGGAGGGCAATAAAGATCAGAGTTGCCACTGAAGGGAGTATAAGCTCAGGAACAGAGCAGCAAAGGACCAGAGATTGACTGCAGGGAGATGAATGCCAGGCAAGGCCCTGTTTGTGAGCAAAGCACCTGAGGAGGAGGAGACTGGAGGGCCCCTCAGGGAGGGAAGGGATCCCAGCTGGGAGAAGAGGTAGGCCACTGGTCCTGGGGCCGATCCTTGGGCCACCTGGCTCCTAGGGCTGAATGGCCAGAACACTCAACCAGAGGAGCCAACTCTCCAGGTCCCAGCATGCTTTACTTCTGAGGTTGGGTGGGGAGCTGGTAGGGACAGAGCTGTCACTTTCTCACCATGTACCTCCAGGCAAACCACTTCCCTTTTCTTGGCTTGTGACCCCAACTGTAAAAAAAGGAGTTAGACTGAAAGATTTAGGGGTTTTTTTTCAACAAACATGCTGTGATTCCCAGTGGCTTGTGTCTTAGAATACAAGGTTTCCTGGCCTGGGCTGAGCTGTGAACTGTGTGGAGGCCCCCAATGCCCCCATCTCTCTTCATGCCTTAAAGTTGTAGGGGATCCTAGGGAAAAGTGAAGCTGTTAACAAAAGTGTGAGGCACGGGGTACGTTGCCTCAAGTGGGAACAGGGTAAGAGTAGTGAAATGTTTTAGATTCGGTACCAGGAACAGGACGTCTGGTAAAGCCAGTGAATTCCCTGGGCACAAGTCCACAGCTGCTCTTCTTCTGCTGTGAAACGGGTCCTTCAGTGTGGTGCCAGGCTGTGCATAAACATGGACGATGCATTCCACGAGTCCACGGATGGCTGTGCTGGAGGAAGGATGAAGGACAAGCAAATCCACGTTCAGAATAGGCGCCTGCTGCAGTGAGCCTGAACCTTGGGCCACTTTGTGATGGAAGGGGCCAATGTAATTAATCGGCCACCAGGTGGCAGACTGGTCCTCCAGAAATGGGGTCCCACTGGGGCCCAGTGTCGGTTTCTGCTGTTTTTACAGAGACTTGAAGAAGGCCATGCCTAGCTCACAGGGATGTACAACGCTACCACCACCTTCACCCCTCTCTTCCCGCGTGGGGGCTTCAGGCCCAGGGACGACGAGAGAGGTCTGGTCTGGAGGGCTGTATTTCCAGAATTCGGAGGTCCCTGAGATCCTTTCATCTTACAGGCATGAGCCCCAGGACATATAACAAGTTGTCTTAAAAAAAAAAAAATATCTTATAAAAGGGATCAAATATGTGGTGACAGAAAGAAATCTAACTATGGGAGGTGAACACAATGTAAATATGCGTTACTGTCAAAATGTACAGCCGAAACTTACCAGATTTTGTTAACCAATGTCGCCATAAAAAATTAATATTAATTTTTTAAACGTTAAAAAAAAAATCTTAGACAGTCCTTTGGGTGTCTAGTTCTGTCACCACTTCCCCCCATTCACCCAGATTAATTTTTTAAACATTAAAAAAAAAATCTTAGACAGTCCTTTGGGTGCCTAGTTCTGTCACCACTTCCCCCCATTCACCCAGATGCCCAGAGAGGGATAATGACTTGCCCAAGACCACACAGGGCAGGTGCAGAGTAGCAGCAACAGAACTGTGTGGTGTGGGAGAGAGGAAGAGCTGCAGAGAGGAAGAGCAGTCAGGGGCCCGCTCCCTCCCTGGGCCCAGACTTTAAGGGGCAGAGCAAGTGTTGGGTCCTACCCACAAATGGATGTTGTGTCTGCAGTGTTTTAGGCACTGGATATGAAGCGGTGACCATGACAAGCAATGGCTCCTGCCCTTGAGAATAGATAGTCAACCATAACCACATCCACAAGCAAGATTATTTCAGACCATGGAAGGGCCATATGAAGGAGACAAAATGACTTTAGAAAGTGACTGGGGTCGTGGGGCTGCTTCAGTTCCCGTGCCAGGAGAAGGAAGGCCTCTCTGAGAGGTGGTGTTGAGACCTGGCTGGCAAGAATATCTGGGGGAAGAAACAGGAAGTTCAAGTAAAAACAGCTGATACATTTACTGTGTTCCAAGCACTGTTCTAG